TCGATGGACGAAACCGAGGACGGCCAAACGAAAGAGAGGACGCATGACCCAAGAACCACGGCTGGTAGAGCCCCCCTGATCCATCTTACTCTCCACGTTGCTGAGCTTGCCGACACGTGCGAGCGAGCGAGAACAAGTCATTCGGACATACACGAAGTTGCATGCTATGAAAAGCGTTTGTCTTGTCCCTGTTGGACCGAAGGTTGTTTGATTTGATTCCTAAGCCTGCGCTTTTCTATCCAAGCCCGAGCACAATTTGCAAAGCCCATACACTTTGTAGGTCACTGCAGCTGCAGGTCAGTCAAGCTATCGTGTATCCTTTGTCCATTGTGGCCGTCTTCTAACATATTGCAATTGGCGGCGCAAGCAGGTCTTGCCAGCAAATCACCGACTTCTCTACCTCCCGAGCTCACTGTCCTTTGAGCATCGATGATGTGTCCGCAAACCCATCTCGTCCGGACGATATCTGGCATATTACTGTTCGAGCAACTTACCGTGAAGGTGGGTTTGATGTCTGTAACAGCACCACTAGAGCCATTGGGTTGTAGGACCTCTTGGACTCTCCCGTCCAGCCTATACTTAATTTTCTCCCCCTAATAAGCCCTTATGCCATATTTGCTTGAGGTGGAATTTCAGCGGACGCCTGCTAGGGTCACACGTGGATGAGAACACCCCTGTACAAATATCACCAGGTCCTGAGCGGTGGTCGTGGAGAGTGTCTTTACCAGTTCTGATTTCAGATGGCTCGTTGGGCCCCGATCGGAATTCAATCATGCTATATCAGCAGCGTAGCATGATTTATCGCATGGAATGGGGAATATGCCTCACGGAAAGTAACGACCGTTTCTTCATCGCTGTAGTGGACTTCTACGAGAGATAGATTGGATTTACTGGCGGGATATTATTCACAAAGTTGCGACGGCTCCTACCTGTAGGAGCGAATCAGATATTGCCGAGCCAAAGCTACCAATGACATGTTAACCTCGAGAGCAAGAAACTCTCACTCTCGCAATCGCTCTATGATGTAGGCATTCTAGTGTAGAATAGGTTCGAGTGACTAGCAATAGTCATCTCAAGCAATTT